TCCCCTCCCCCCAATAATAATAATAATAATAATAATAATAATAATAATATACTGTCTTGGTTACTGAGGATTTTGGTACCCCTTAAATTTTGTAACTTAGGTAGGTTTTATACCCTAGCCCTTCTCAGTGACCCCTAAGAAAATCAGGGTTTTTTTTCTTAATGTGTTTGGTTGTTGCAGGGTCTCACTATGAAGCTCGGACTTGTGGTGATCCTCCTGCTTTCAGCCTCCTCAGCTCTGGGATTCCAGGTGTGGACCACTATGCACCCTTGACTCTGGCCAGTTCAGCCCGCCCTGGGGGTGGGGCTGGTGTTCAGTGCCACCACACCCAGTCTCTATTGCCTTCTCAGCGTGCCCCAGGGGTGGGGCTGGCACCACACCCCCCGGGGTCAAACCCTGATCCCTGTATCTGCCTAAGCAGGTGCTTTAGTCCTCTGAGCTATCTGGGTGTTTTTTTTGTTGTTGTTGTTGTTGTTGTTGTTGTTTGTTTTTGTTTTTGTTTTTTGTTTTTTAAGAAAAAAGCAAATAGCTTTGTGAACGTTTTGGGGTTTTTGAACTAGAAGATGGGGATGGTGTCAGTTCTGGTAGTTGTTGTAAGGAGTCTTTGCGTTTGACCTGAAGAGCAAGTGTGAAGTTCTCAGTGCAAACACCATGCTCAGAGATTTTGCCCTCTGGCAGGGGACAGCCCCCAGGCCTGAGCCTGAATACCCCTTGGCTCTCTTCTGCCCGGGGTCTCTTGTTTTGTTTGTTTGATTGATTGACTGACTGATTGATTTTTTATTTCTTACCATTCCTGGTTTCAGTAGCCAGCACGGTGGTATGGCATGCAGTACCAGGGATCAAACTCAGGTCCTTGTGCTGGGTACATTGATTGATTTTGTAATATTGGGGATCAAACTTGGGACCTTTCACTTGCCAGGCAGGCAGGCACTTATGCTGCTGAGCTATCTTCCCAGCCCCAAGGATTGAACTCAGGCCTCTGCACTTGCCAGGCAAGTGCTTATTCCACTGAGCCATCTCCCTGGCCCCTTTACTTTTTATTTTGAGCCAAGGTCTCACTAAGTGGCCCAGGGTAGGCTCAGGCCACCTGTTGCAGCCTCCCTGGATGTTGAGATTACAAGCATGAGCCAGTCTTTAGGATGCAGTGGGGTGGAGGATTTAGGTAAGGCAGGACAGGTCCAGGTGCCAGCACCTCTCTGCTTTACAGACAGATGGATGACCTGGGGAGCTGGGAGAGAAGCAGCCCCAAGGCCAGCTCTTGGGGTGGGTGAAACCCTGAGGCCCTCCTGAACACAGAAGACCACACTTTCTTTTCCCCTCTCTGCCCCCATTCTTCTTTCCTAGGAAGCGTGTATTCCACGCTGTGCCTCATGCTAGGCTTTGGGAGGCCGGGAGTCCTGAGCACTCACAGGATGCGTGGCAAACCGCGGAGCGACCCCAACTGAGGGGTTTGGGGGCCTAGCATGCCCAAAGCCCTGGCAAAGGTTTCCAGCAAAGAACGAAGGGGAAAAAATCCCCTGCCTAGAGAATGTCCCGTGCATGGATTCAAACGTACGACTTGTCTGCATTCAGGTCTAGGAACCTGCGCAAAACCCAGTTTACCACACGCCCCCCCCCCCCGCGCCCAAAAATTCCAAGCGTCTGTAGTCTGCGGAGAAAAAAGTGCCCCAAGAAGAGCGTCGCAAAGGCGCTCGGCGGCGGTGCTGTACTGCGGCGCAGTCCCCTCCGGTGGCCCAGCGAGCGATCCATCGAGAGCTTTGCTTTTGGTCAAGCAGAGCGCAGTCTCTGCACCCTTCCATCGGCCACCTCTCAGCCGGTGCTGGCTGGAGAGCAGAGATATGCGCCTCAAAAACCAAACTCGCTGCGACCCAGGCACCCCCAGGCACTAGAATGGGAGCCCTGGCTATGAGGTGCTTTCTCCTCCCGGAGGAAGGACGCGGACACCCACTGCGGGGGCCTCCAGAAGCCTCCTCCTTCCTTCTGACCAAGAAAAGACTGATTATGTGGCGCGTGAGAGGATACGAAGGAACGAGGAGGGAGGCAGGGAGGGAAGACAGAGACGGGGGTCCTGGCTCCGGGATCCTGAAACGGGCGGCTCGGGCGCCTCAGCCTGCCCGGGAGGCCGTTCCCGTCCTGGTCTTGCTGCCCGGGAGCCCTGCCGCCTGCCTGGCTCTTCGAGACGGCCGTCCCAAAGGCTGCATCTCAACCCGGCGCCTGGCTGCGTGCGTCCCCTCCGCAACCTCCCTTCCCCCGGGGCGCAGCGTGGCACCGCCCCTCCCACCTCGGTGGGGACTCCCGGGAACCTCAGGCAGACAGGGGACGCCCGAGCAGCTGCGGACTGCGGAGCTGGGACAACCGGCTTCTTCGGTGTGCGGGGACGGCGGCGGAGGAAAGCACGACTGCGGCTCCTCTGGCTGAGCGCGTAGGGGCGCCGGGGGTGGGAAGGCCCTATTGCCGCGCCTCTCTCTGAGAAGCGGTGTTGGGGGTCAGGCTGAGCGACACGGACTGGATTCCCCCGGGGAGGGACGGCCTGCTGGCCTCCCTCACGCAGTGGGCATGGCGGGGTGGGGTGCGAGGGCAGCATCGTGTGTCCGTAGCTGGGACTCTGCCCCGGTCCCCAAGGACCCTTCTCTCACCCAGCCAGGCTCAGGCGAGGACCGCACGGCCAAGAAGGTGGAAGCCGGCTGAGCAAAGCAGCTCAGCGAAGGCAGAGGCCAAGGGCTGCCTTGGCCTCGGCCTGGGAATGGCCAGCGGGTGGCGCCGTAGGACAAGAAGCCGAGCTCTCTGCCAGGAGGCCGTGGCCGGTGGAGGGCCCTCGGGCTGGGGGCCGGGGCACCTGGGCGCAGTTCTCCCACGCAGGTCACAGCCTTAGCCCGAAAAAGCGATAGGAAAACTGGGCCCTTCATAAAAGTCTCGTGCCTTTGCCAGGCAGTTTTCAGAGCTGAAAGGGGGCCCCGCTGAAAACTTTTCTCTCCGGATACAGCTGTCTTGGAATGTCCTACCTGCGACCCTCATCACTCACAAGGCAGGATCTTCCCTGTGTGGGCCAGGTTGCACTGTAACTTGTGATCCTCCTGCCTCAGCCTCCCATATGCTGGGTTTACAGTAGTGTACTCCCATGCCTGGCTATGAGCCGGCTTCAGATGGGTGTACAGTGTGTGCGGGGTGTTCTGCTGGAACAGCTCACTCAGATCTCTGCTGTAGCGACCACCAGAATGGGTATCTCCCTGCCAGGCTGAGGGATGCCCCCAGACAACATGAGCTTGTGCCTGCTGGCTGGCTGGCTGGCTGTGTGGGATTTGGGCTCCTGCTGGGAGGGTGGCAGCTTCCATTCTACAGAGAGGACAAAAATCCCAAGAGTGGAGCTGGCTGCTGCAGGGGGAATGAAACCAGCCATAGGGGGCCTGCCCCTTAGCTCAGTTCTTTAAGTGGCTGCTTCCACAAAGCAGTCAGGCTCAGGTTGCTGTGGTTCATCCCCACAACTCCAGCCAGCCAAACCTGCCCTGAAGGCATTCAGAGCCAAAAAAAAAAAAAATCCTTCTGCCATTGGGGCTGGGGAGATGGCTCAGTAGAATAAGCACTTTCCTGGTAAGTGCAAGGGCCTGAGTTCAATCCCCAGTTCAAAAAAAGAGAAAAAGAAAAAGAAACCAGCCAGAGTGAATCTGCTGGGCTGTGTCAAGGAAGGTCTTCGAGGGAGACTGGGCTGCGATGGAGGAGAGGGGCGGTGCAGGAGCGCAGGAGCTGCAGGCACGAGGAAAGCAAGCTGCCAGGCAAGGAGGGAGTCAGGGGAGCTGGGGGCCGCCAAAGGGAAGGATCTGCTGTGCTGTGAGTGGGGGCCATGTGGAGCGGGGGCCAGGCGGGGTGCAGGTCCTGGGGTGGTGGAGAGGGACCCAGAGCCCACCTGGCCCGAGCGCTGGCTTGGTGGTCTTGCAGTTCACACTGACAGTTTCTGAGGGGTTGGATGAGAGGTGGGGGGAGAGAGCACAGTGTCCTGGGCCTGACAGCCAGCTGGGCACCTACTGTTTGTTACGCCCTGGGAAAGGAGCAGGGAAGCAGGTTTGGTGGGCTAGAGGTGAACACCACACACCTGGGCTGGGGCAGGGGCATGGCTGGGTAGGTGCCAACCGCAGTGGGGACAAGTGCAGGTTGCAGATCAGCGCTGGGATCCTCAGGCTGGAAGCTGTACCTGAGGGCAGGCAAGGGGCTGGCCCAGGACAGGCCTGAGGCTGAGGCGTTTGTCCCTCAGGTCATAATTCACCCAGCACTTAGGTATCTACTGGTTTTCACAGAAAGACACAGAGGAAGAGGACAAATAACCTTTTCCATTTAAAACACATCAGCCTGTAATTTGTGGAGAAAAGTCAAAGAACACTGAAAATGCTGGAAGGAAGGCGTGCCCAGGAGCTTGCCCAGGAGCTCTGCAACGTGGTACCTTCAGCCTCTCAAGGACAGCATCCTTTCAGGTCTCCATGGAGAAGGCCACTGGCCTGCCTGATTGACAGGGCCCTGGCTCAGAGGGGTGCCCCCCCAGGGACCATTGGTTCTTCCCACTGTCAAGAGTCCCAGAGAGAGAGTTCTGCCTTGGTGAGGCACCAGCCTTCCCAAAAAGAGCAATTAAAACTCATGTTCAGAATATAAAATGAGGGCCTTCAAAGCGAGTCAGTGTCTCCTTCTCTGCAGGACATGCACGAGTCATTCTCATCGACTAATGGGGAGCCGGGGATTCCACTCTTAGCCTGGGCTGTTGAAAGCTGCCTTGTAATTTGGGTTTATCTGGTCAGGTGAGGGTCCGGGAGGGGAAGCAGTGTGAGCCCCCGCCCCGCATGGGGAGTCCCAGGTAGAGGGCTGCTGGGGTAGGTTGAGGCTCGTGTTGGCGAGCTTGGAGTGGGATGTAAGGAGGTGGGGCTTCCAAAATAAGGACCCGAGAGCTGTCTGAGGCCCTGGCGGCAGCAGCCACAGAGAAATGGGTGGGGTGGGGTGGGGTGGGGGGCAGCTGGGGTGGGGTGGGGGGCAGCTGGGGTTGGGGTAAGTGAGGCAGGGACAGGTGAGTCTTTCAGGGCACTTCCTGCCACAGCAAGGGTACATGGACTAGGAGTGCAGGGCCTAGGGGTGGGTGTAGTTGCCCATCCGCAGGGTCCCCTGGCGCACAGCATGCTCTTCCCGGTGGGCTTTGAACGCTCTCTGACGGTCGGCCTCCGTGGAGAAAGTATCAAGCTGGGGGCCCACCTGCCGACAGAAGACCAGAATGTGTGGTGACTTTCCTTCCGCCCCATCCACCTTCCCATCCCCTCCTTTGGTCTTTTGTTTGCTTTTATTTATTTATCTTTTATTTTATTTTTTATTTATTGTTCGCAGTACCAGGGATTGAACTCGGGGCCCTGCACTTGCCAGGCAAGCGCCTATTCTACTGAGCCATCTCCCTGGCCCTGTGCTTTTATTTCTTTTTTTTTTCTTTTTTTTTTTTAATATTTATTTATTTTTATTTATTA